AAAAGTAGTAGCATATCAGATGTAATCCTGTGGTCTTTAGTGCTTCTTAGATGTTGAATAATTAGGGTCTGTCTTCTTCACTTTTCAAGAGCCACAGAGTCATTTTAAAACATAGAAACATGAGGGATCCAAAAGCCCAGACCGACATTTGTGTGTTCAGTAGCAGGCCGTGTTGAGGCACTGGGTACATAAAGATGAGTAAGCTGCAGTCCTAGTCCTCTAAGAGTTCTCAGTGAATGGGAGGATAATGGAAGGAAACCACAGCAAAGAGGGCTGACCTTTGTCACTGGGGCAATGGGAATTGTTGAGGGGGAAGGGTTGTGGGCTAGATTTTTGTTTTAAAGGGTTTTCTCTAATAAAATTACAGAGAAAATTGAAACAGGATCAGAAAGATGAATCGAGGCTTCTTCAGATTCGATGGTTTACAAATATATCTAAAAAATCATAAACAAAAATAGTATGTAAAAGGAGAACAGAAGGTAATACAATAAAGATAACAGAGATGTGTCTTTAGTGTATAAAGAGATACTAGCAATGCAAAGAAAAAGAGACAAACAATTTCGAATTCACAGAAAAAAGAAATGGTCAGTAAAAATGAAAAACTGTTTAAGCATTAATATTTTAAAAATGCATATTTGAACAATTACAAGTTACTGATTTCGCCACGTTAGATTGGAGAGGGTGGAGTAAGTCAACACTGCCACTGCCACTGGGAATGAAAAATAATGAAATCCTTCTGAAAGCAATTTTATAATATGTATCAAGAGTCTCCAAAAACCATTACATCTTCAGTCTAAAAATTCTACTACTTTAAATCAATTATTTTCTCTAAGAAAATAGATATTCAAAAATTTATAGGCCAAAATATTCAATGTAGGATAACTTATAACCAAGAAAAGGGGAAACAATCTAAATTTCAATAATAATTGGGAGGCTAAATATATTATGGCCTCACCCATCAATAGACTATTATATGATCATTTAAAGTGAAAAGGAGAAAGTGTTTGCTATGTGCTATTAACTACGAAAGAATATGAATGATACACAATTTCTTTCATATTATAATGCCGATAAGATCATTCCAGTGTGTACCTGTGTTTGTATAGATGAATGAATTCTAGCTAGGTAGGCAATTAGTCATGAAAAAAAGATTAAAAGAATGAAAGGAAATAAACCAAAATGTTAAACAGGGCTTATTGCTTTACTAGACGTTTTCTGCATTAAAAATGGCCCACAGTTCTTTAAGCTGTGTTTATAGTATTAATAATATTATTAATAACAATAAGGTAGGAGAAAAATCAGAAATTATTAATAGCATAGAAGCCATAACAGAGAATTTTAATAAAACTGAAAATTCACTGTAAAACTCCACACAGATTATTGTAGAATTATGAAATGCATGATCCCCAGTGGTACAAATTGAAAATAAAATGAATTTAAAATTGGTTTAGAGGCATTTCTAATGGTGCTACAACATAGCACACCTTTGGGATTTCCTGCCTGATGTAAGCCTTGCAGTCTTACAGAAAAATATCATTCTGGAATAGATGGGCTACTGTTCTGACTCAGCCATGAGAAAGCCCACGTTTCCCTTCTGCATCAAGTACACTGGCATGTGTCACCTTATGTGTCACAGAAATACTAATTTTAGTGAATAGTTTTAGAAGAACAGGCTAGAGATTTCCCCAGGCACCACTCTCACTCTTTAAGGAAAAAGTATACACTATGTATGACATAAACCATTTCTTTTATCCTCCCAATTTAAATGAGCAATTCTGTTGTTTATCCCTTATTCATGCTGCTCAAGCAGAATCTCTTGAGCATAAATGTTCTGGAATTAGTATCATTTAAAACTTCAGAACAGCCCACATTGCCTGATTTAGAAAAGGCTTTTCCACCTTGTAATTCACTTGTTGTGTGAATCAATAGAAGTTCTAAACTGAGCAATTCAGCTGTGACTTTAGTAGTAACTAAGATTCCCAGAGCACTTTTACACAAATGCATTGTCAGCCACTAGCTTGAGGAACTTGCAGCATTTTGAGACAAAAATTAGCCTGATAAAGACAGAATTCTGTAAAATATGCCAGTCGCATGAGTCTACTCATTCTGTACACTAGAATTAGATCTGAAATATCAAACAGGTTCAAGTAGTCCAGCTTTCATTAGTTATCACACAGTAACAAGTGACATAAAATCCTTGCGATTTACAGTAATAAAGATTCACTTCTTTTTCATGATACACAATAGCTAGGGTCAGCTCCAGCTCTATTCCATGCATTCATTCCAACCTTCAGGCTAAAGGAGCAGCTCTTTTCTAGAATATGCTCTTCTTTTGGTGGCTGTGAGACATGGGAAACTGAACCACATGATTGTTCTAAAACCTTCTGCTTGAACATGTCCATGGCACTTTTGCATGTATTTCATTGCCTAACACAAGTTCAATGACCAATCCTGATATTAAACAGGACATGGAAGTATAATACCCTGACACAAAGATCAGGAAATAACTGAGGAATAATACTACAATCTGCCGCATCAAGTATCTGAAATATATCATATTTTAATGGTATATATAGAATATTATATATCTAAGCAGTATATATAGAATACTATATATTCATGCAGTATATATAGAATACTACAACTTTGGATTTATAATCTGTGTATTTATGTGTGGAGAGATAGATAAAGGAAATAGACTGTGAAGACAGAAAAAGAGATAGACAGACAGACAGACAGACAAAGCAATGCATATGTGGTTTCATTAGCAAAAGACTTTGGTATGTCAAGAACTGTAGAACCATTTGGCCAGCCAAAAAGAAGCAAGGATACTGCTTCCAATCTATTAGGAAGGAAATTAAAGAAACCAGATACAGATACGGTTGGTTCTAAAATGATAATCTATACACATTTTACTCTACAATTAGGCTAAACATTAATATAAACACAAATTCAGAATACTAGCTTGCAATCTAATATTGGTCTCCATATCATTTTCCTGACCCTACCTACTCACCCACTCAACCCATCCAAGTAGACTGTGTGACTGTCATTCCATGATCCATAGATTTTTATCTGGCATCTCATTTTTTTCTGTTCCATAGCTAAGTACAAACTATTTAAATATTGGCTTCCAACTTTACTTGTTAAGCCACAAACAGCCTTTTGTTCTGATTTATTTGTTCATTTGTTTGTTTTTTGGTTTGCCCATGATTCAGCTATCTCTCTAATAGGAGTACCAATTCCTGCATCAGTGTTCTCTATTCCCACCTTTCTGTGCCTATGTGAGACAACACACAACTTAGAGTCACTTCAGTGTGAAAATAAACTTCTTGTTTGAAATCCAAAATATACCTCCCACACATTGGATAGGAATATCTAATCGATATCATTTTCTATGTTACATTTATATAATGCCTCCACCTCATCTGTCCTCTTAACTCATGTCATGTTATGTCCTTGTTATACCATCACCCACACAATGTCCTGAAGGCTGCATTTGCTCACATGATAATAATGCCATGCTCCAATTTTGAGTATTCCTAGGATACAATATTCATATTCAGCTTTCCCCAACTCCAATGCCTCCTTAGAAGAGATCTACTTCTATTTGCATTCTTCTTCTTGAAGACAAAATACTTTGTTATCTTTGTTCCTTTATCACTGCTAACAAAGCCAAGCTATGAAGGAGCCTGGCTTTCTGGTGCTAGAAAACTTGATATGATCTCTTAGATGAAGATCCAGGAAAATATGATCTTACTCATCATTTCCATTCCATCTGGCCACTATTATTTCTCATAACAGTAAATGAAACTGACCAAGATACTGTTAATAAAAATCCTATGCTTTTGGAGGTGATAGATATGTTTATGGCATTGATTGTAGTGATGGTTTCTTGAGTGAATACTTATCTCCAAATTCATCAAGTTGTACTAAATTATGCACAGCTTCTGGTAAACGAAATATCCTATGATAACAATCTCTAAGTGGTCATTATTCAGTATGCCTACAAAAACATTTCTAGTAACATCAATTGAAAGTTACATTATTGTTTTCTCATTTAGCAGTCTAATTCCTCAGATATACCAAGAGACTTTCTAGTCCCCCCAAAATTTAATATCTTTAACCTTGAGAATACTTGGTCCTCCCAAAGATTCCAATTACTATGCCATATTTGTGAGAGCTCTCCTAATCCTCTTCTTCAAATATAAAGTAGTGTCTCAATTGGAAAAGCTCCTATGTTTATCCTTATCTAGGTGCTTCAGAAAGGCCGTTTATGTTCAGAACTGGAGATAAGAACCTCTGGCATCAAGTGCCATTTGATGGTTACGCTGCACATAATCCCTATCCTGTACTAGATTCTGAGATAGTTTCTAGCATCCCCTTTGAATTTTTATTCCTTGCCTGCTCCTTTACATATGGCTTGAAACACAAACCATGAATATGAAGTTAAAAGTTTTCATCTATCTGTGTTCTGCTCTGAATGGACATTGAGAAACACTCCAGGGTATACAAACTGATTAGAGTATCACTCTTACATGGCTTGGATATTTTTCTCCCAACCTTGACCAAGAAGTTTACATTTGAAGCCCTGCTCTTACCCTACCATTTCGTGTGAGGTCTTAGATTTTTCATGTTAGCTTCAATGATGAGAGCCCTGTCCCTCTAAGCAGCTTAGCAGCTTAAAGTCCTTTTCCTAGGTTCTTCTAATGTCTCCTGTCCTATCTGTCCTAGACCCATCTACACTGGTGGGCATTTTGCTCTGAGTGACTCCTAATAAAGGGATGACCTCACCAGTGATCAGCATTGTCAAAACATGCTTCAAATGTTAGCTCTAAATGTGTGATAGACATGAAAATTGATATATAGAGATAGATGTAAAATATTTACGTGTTAAATAATTTGTGAGTTTTTAATCAGACTTTTTTTTAACTGCATTGCTTAGATTTTTTTGGTGAGTTTGACCCATGAAAATAAACTGATTTCTCCTCCACTTTTAGATGGTCCAACCGTCTATGCAGCATATTTAAAAATGGAGCACAGTGATGAGAATATTAAATTCTGGATGGCATGTGAAACCTATAAGAAAATTGCCTCACGGTGGAGCAGAGTTTCTATGGCAAAGAAGCTTTATAGGATTTACATCCAGCCACAGTCTCCTAGAGAGGTAACTACCTGACAATGACAGAAATGGAAATCAGTTCATGCCCGCAAGGGCACTAATATCTGTCAAGCATCCATAAGTGCCGGGCACTTTACAACCAGTATCTCCTAAAATGCCATAAATTCAATATAGCTGACCTTATTTCACAGACAACAAACCTGAGACTCTGAGAACTTGTCCAGTGTTGCACAGCCGTTAAATGGTAAAGTTGGATTCAAAATTAGATCTACTGGGTCAAAGCTTTTCCCCATTAAATTATCTTATTTTCTAGGAGACTTAAAAGAAAAAAGGAGTCTGTGGCAAAAGCATTGGCCTTGCCAGCAGGAACTGTACATACCATGAAGAGATATGTGGAAATACCTGCGTTGTTGGGCAATGAGAACTAAAAAAATCCCATAAGGGAACAGAGAGGACAGTGTATGAGATTTCTATCGTGCAGGGCAAGCCCATGTTATTGACACATTCCCCAAAACTCTTGTCTGGAAAATACTTGGTTTATTAAAATAGCCACCTCTCTCCTCTATTTATCCAATTCTCTTCATTTTCTTCCCATTTCAGAGCATATTCAGTTAAATCAACATTTGTGACTATTAAAGGAAGATAAATTTTAAAATAGCACCAACTTCTCTTTTTTAAAATGAGATGCTTGTCTTATAAACTTCCTGGTTTATAGACTGCTACTAAAAAACCACTTACATCCTCCAGAACAAGTCATGGTTTCAGAGACTTCCCTCATCTTGAGCCTTATAATTTTATTTTTTGTTCCTCTTGGATGTGGAAGTAGATATTTACTTTTAAAAAGCACAATCCTTATTTTTTATATATCTTCCTAGATGCCAATAAAACTATAAAGAAAATTACCCTATTACACTGAAAAGGAGAGTAGGAAATAAATTAAGTCTTTCTATTATATGTGCCTTTTTCCAACAATGCTTACTTATGCTGCACATGTAATTTCACTTTTCAGATTAACATTGACAGTTCGACAAGAGAGACGATCATCAGGAACATTCAGGAACCCACTGAAACATGTTTTGAAGAAGCTCAAAAAATAGTCTATATGCATATGGAAAGGGATTCCTATCCCAGATTTCTAAAGTCAGAAATGTATCAAAAACTTTTGAAAACGATGCAGTCCAACAACAACAGTTCCTGACTGTATCTCAAAAGTTTAAACAGAAAACAGTATATTGAAAGTGGTGGGTTTGAGCTTTTAATTTAGAAAAACACAAAACCAGGAACATAGTACAAATAGAACAGAAATCAAACTATAAGTTGACTTTTAGTTCCTAAAAAGAAACAGATGCCAAAAGCAATGGAATCTAGAATTTGTATAACATGAATAACAAAATTTACAGCATACCTATGTAGTGCAATTAATATATAATGAAAAGGAGAGTCCTTCTTCATTACATAAACATTATGAAGTTTTTACGGTAGTAGTAAATTAATGGATATTTCCTTTATTAATAAAATTCACTGTCATATGAATTAGTTCTTTAAAAATTGTCAAATGAAATGTGTTTCTAGCATGAAGATGTTCTATAGAGTACTCTTAATAACTTCAATTTATAGACAAATGCCATTCACGATACAATCAATTGTATCATGAGAAATATCAAAAAGATATGTTCTTGAGAGACATTTTATCTATAAAATTTTTCTACTATTATGTTCATAACCAAACTTCTTTATCACATATATCTTCTACATGTATAACATTTCTGATGATTCTAAGCTCTTAAAAAATATATGAATTTCTTCATTTGCGCTTGCATTTACATTGCTATGAGGATATAAAATGTGGTTTCTATATTTTGAAATTTTTTTCCTTACAATGTGAACTCATTGTTGTATTGGAAATCAATAAAGCCAAATATCAACTGAAGACTTACATGATTTTTTTTCAAAGGCAAAACAAATATATTTTCTAGTACAAATAACAGTGAGAATATATTTTTTTATTTTCCATTGTTTTCCTGGAAAGTGTAGACAATTTAACACATTCATTGGCTATTACCATCCTATCACTTTAAAATATTAATAGAATCCAAATCCAACATCCATAATCCAAAGCTCATCATAATATTTATGAGTGTAGAATTTGATCTGTTCCATTTTATACTTAAAAGGGAACAAATCAGAAATTTCAAGTCCTGTAGTCCTGAAGGAAGAAAACATTCAAAAATGATTTTTCCCTATTGGAATCATTTTTAAATATGCATGTTTTCTCTTGATTGTGAAAAGTGGCTTAAAATAGACTCATTTGACCCTTGTGGGAAAGAAAGTTTTCTCTGTAATTCTAGTGATTCACTAATTGGTTTGCCACTGAATTATTTATTCCATGAGTCATTACATTTCATTGGTACCAAGAAGTGTAAATTTGGTCAGTCAGATGCTTCTGTAGTTCACGAAATCACAGGTGTTTTTCTGTAGTGCTTTCCACTTTTAAAAGATGGGCAATGTGAGTAACTACACAGTCAATCATAGCATAGGTGCTAGGAAGGCCTAAGTCACTAAACGATCTTGCTTCCAGCTCTGAAACCAAAACAAAAGAAAACTTGCAAAAAATAAATAAGTGAATAAACAAAGAAGCATCATTGGTATAATTTAAATACACTTTGATTCGGCACAATGGAAAGAATACCAAATTCATTGTCAAGAAAATTGGGCTTCAGTTCTGGATTTCCCAGATTAGCTATATAAATTTCTTCAGGTCTAGGTAAACTATAGAATATTACACAAATTTCTTATTTTCCCTGCTTCTCAGTTTTCTCTTCTTTAAAATGAGGTGATTAAAATAGATAATACCTTATTTCCTTTCCAGCTTCAAAATCCTGACTACCTTTAGTACTTTAAAAAAAAAAAATTTCCTCCTAGTGAATCATTGAAAAGTACTTTTAAATTACTTAGTTCAATATCTGAAAGTTTTTTGTGTGATATTCTCTTGCCTTGCCTCTGATTTTGTAAATGTAATACTATGACATATATTCAAAGCAGAACTTTGCCACAATAATCACTCTTCTAAGATCATGTGTTCAGATGTTTATAAATCAGGAACAATCTCTGGAGCTCCCACTTGCTCCCTTAACCTAGCCCTTCCCACACCATTCACTGCTGAAGCTGGTGTTTTAGCTCCAAGAAAAGCCCTCAAAAATTGTAGAAACCAGTACGGACGTTCCTCAAAAAATTAAACTACCATATGATCCAGTAATCCCACTTCCTTGCATTTATCCAAAAAAAACGAAAACAACATCTCAAAAAAATATCTATACCCCTGTGTTCACTGCTGCATTATTAACAGCCAAGATCTAGACACAAACTACATGTCCTTCAGCAGTTGAATGGATAAAGAAAAAGTTATACACAATGGATTATTATTCAGCCTTAAAAAGAAGGAAATTCTGCCATTTGTGCCAATATGGATGGAGCTGGAAGACATTTTCTAAGCCAAGTAAGCAAGACACAGAAAGACACCACGATCTGAATTATATGTGGAATCTAAAATAGTCAGACTCATGGAAGCAGAGTAGGATGGCAGCTGCCAGGGGCTGGAGGGACGGGGAAATGGAGATACATTGGTCAAGGGGTACAAAGTTTTGGTAATGCAGGATGAATAAGTTCTGGAGATCTAATGTACAGCATGGTGACAACAGTCAACAATACCGTATTGTATACTTGAAATTTGCTATGAGAACAGATTTTAAATCTTCTTAACACACACATGTACACACACAAATGGTAACTATGTGGAGTGATATGTTAATTAAGTGGATTGCGATGGTCATGTCACCATGTATGTGTGTGTGTGTATATATGTGTGTATATATATGTGTATATATACACACATATATATATAAACATCAACTTTTACATCTTAAATATATACTATTTTTACATATCAATGATATATCAATAAAGCTGTTGAAAGAAGCCTTCACAGACTATCCTATCATTATAAGATGCAGAAGTTTTGTGAGAATAAAATATTAATATTCTTTACGGTATTTAAACTTCACTGTATTTAAACTTTGGCAATAATATGTATAAAGTATTAGAAAGTGCATGATTTACACTGGGTGGGAGAAAACAGCTATCATTAAGATTCTTGGAGCACTGGGTAATACTGTTCACTGCTGTGGAGGCCAAAGGGTAACAGAAGAATATACATTTCTTAAGACTAGAGCCATATCTTATTTTACATTATATCCTCACTGCTAGGTAGAGGACATGGAACATATCACACTCAAAAAAATAGATAAATGAGTGAGTGAATGAGTAAATAAATGAGTCAGTTTATCACCAATGAGAAACTAATAAACCTGGTGTTATATCTCCTTTACTCTGTAATGTAGTAATGCCAACTTTTAAAATACAATTCCTGGATTTTGCAAAACATATAAAATTTCAGGAAAGCACATATATAAAAACTAGATTATTACGGTCTGAATTTTAACAACTGAGCAAACCTTCTATCCAATGCATAGAATGCACAAACAGAGATCAGTTCTACTAAATACTGTTGATATGGGAGAGTTCAACAATGCAAGCTAAACAGGAACGGGACAATGTATAAGTTAGTCAGTACGATTGGCTGGTTGAAGGGAGAGCAGGCTTTAAACAGTGATAATATTGGTTGTTTTCATTATTAACAAATATATTCAATTTTTTCTTGATTTTTTTTTTAACAACTTGTAATTCCTTTTCTAACCAAGGGTTCTTGGTCCTCTTTTCCAAAGTCAGGAAGTTGAGTTGACTTAGTATGTGAATAAATGTGCTTATCAAATTTTTTTTCAAAATGATTTCTTAAAGCTGAGCTTCTAAATGTTCAGTTACTTCCATTTAATACTTCCATCAATTGCACAAAGACTGCTTTTCGCAGCACTATCATAGCATTCTTAGCATTTGTCAGAATATTTTTAGAGGGAAAAAAACTCACATCTGTTTCACTTTATTCAGCATATAGCACAGGATAAATGTTCTATATAAATGGATAAATATTCTATACCTTTGATTAAAAAGAATACCTAAAATATTTAAAATTATTTTTCCAAATAATTAAATGTAGAAAATTTTTGTTCAAGATATTTAGTTCTACTATGAAAAATGTTTCCTGGGTCTCAAATTCAACTGAAATGTCATTACTAATTTGAAATGCTTATAAATCTTTATGATATGAAAAAGAATATTAACTAGTATTCCTACTAAGAAGCAAAAGGATTATTATAGGCATGTTGTCCATATTGAAAGTAAACTACCAGTATTCTTGATCTTGTGATATTCTTGAATATCACAAATAAATTTTCCCATTCAAGAATATCACAAAATTAAGAAAATGGGAAATTTTATTTGTAATACTCAACAATATCACAAGATCAAGAAAATGGGAAATTTTATTTGTGATATTCCACACAATAAATATTGGGGGATTCATTTTCAAGAAAGAGAATTAGCTGTACAAGAGAATATTTTCATTAAAAAGTATATAATTGATTACAGTGAACTGTTGTTAGTCTTGGAAGGTGTTACCACAGTAGTTCAATTTTATCTGAGCCACTCAGTTTTATTTTATCTTAAAAATACCAGTATAAAAATACAGCTTGAAGTCTTAGATATCTAAACTTGATGATATCTAGCCACTATCAGCCAGAAAAAAAAAAATTCCATTATTTCAAATTATCCTATCTCACTCTATCAGTGAATGAGTATGTATATGTACACACACACACACACACAAACACACACACACTGATAAATATATGGGCAAGTAGGAAATGTTACATACATGGTTTGGCTCGGTGCCCCACCCAAACCTCATCTTGAATTATACTTCCATAATGCTCATGTGTCCAGGGAGGGACCCGGTGGGAGATAATTGAATCATGGAGGCAGTTTCCCCTGTACTCTTCTCCTGGTAGTGAGTAAGTGTCACAAGATCTGATGGTTTGATAAGGGAAAACCTGTTTCATTTGGCTCTCATCCTCTCTCTTGCTGCCACCATGTGAGACGTGCCTTTCACCTTCCACCGTGATTATAAGGCCTCCCCAGCCACGTGGAACAGTAAGTCCAAGAAACCTATTTCTTTTGTAAATTGCCCAGTCTCAGGTATGTACTTATCGGCAGCATGAAAACGGCATGCATGGCCACAACATACAGGCTTCAAGCACTTTCAGAGCACCTTGGGTCTTTCTCAGTCAAGTTATACTAAATCAGCCTAATACAGACATAACTAGTAAATGACATCAAAATAATTTAGCATTCTTTACTACTTATTTTTGCCCTTGAATAGATGGATATTTGCACTCCAAAACAGAGTAAGTCTAGAGTTTTCAGTTTTGCTTAATATTCTGATTTTACCTGCTAAATACAGTCTTTCTGCCCTGCTCTCTCAGCACCTCCACATCATGGTGGGCAAAGAAGATGCCATTTGGGGTCATGAAACGAAAAGCTTTGGATTGAGGTACAAAGCAACTGGATTAGCATCTGTTCATTTACCTGATGTTCTTGTACCCTTAGGACCAGTAGGCTTCAGTTTCCTCATCTATAAAATAAAGTAAGATGAGGTGATTGTGTAAGCTACATGCTATGCATGTTTGTTATATCCCATTATAAATGTGTTCATCATTTTCTTTTCTGTAACTTGGATTCGTTTTGAAGAGTAAGTTCTCCAGAAATTAAAGTTTTCATGAGGAGGTAAATAATAATCTATTTATCGTATTTTGCATTTACCCCTAATTATTAGAGTTCTTGGGAAGTACTGTATCTGCACTTAAGTGCTGGCTGTCAAAGAATAATGTATGTGTTTCATTTTACCAATAGTTAAAATAGTTTCAGATTCTTTTAACTTAATAATATTCTAAATAGTGCTAATTTTTCTCAGGGGAT